ATTAAAAAGATCATTCATCATGACTAAGTGGGATTTATCCCAGATGCAAGAATGATTCATCATATGCAAAACAATGTGATACATCACATCAACAGAATGAAGGACAAACACCATACGATCATTTTAATTGATGCTGAAAAAGCATTTGATAAAATTCAACATCCCTTCAAAATAAAAACCTTAAAAAAACTGGGTATAAAACTCAACATAATAGAATCTATATACAGCAGATCCACATCTAGTATCATACTGAATGACGAAAAATTTAAAGCGTTTCCTCTCATACCTGGGACATGACAAAGATGCCCACTTTCACCACTGTTATTCACCATAGTACCGGAAGTTCTAGCTAGAGCAATCAGACGAGAGAAATAAATAAAAGGCATCCAAATTGGAAAGGAAGAAGTCAAATTATCCTTTTCAGATGAGGTGACCTTATCTTTGGAAAAACCTAAAGACTCCACCAAAAAACTATTAGATCTTACAAACAAATTCAGTAAAGCTGCAGATAAAAAATCAACACATAAAAATCAGTAGCATTTGTACTGCCAACAGTGAACAATCTGAAAAAGAAATCGAAGAAGTAATTCCATATACAACACCTAGAAATAAAATTAACTACCCAGAAATTAACCAAAGTGAAAGATCTCTACAGTGAAAATTATAAGAAATTGATGAGGACACAAAAAATGCAAAGATATTCCATGTTCACAAATTGGAAATATCCATATTGTTAAACCGTCCATATTATCCAAAGCAATCTACAGATTAAATGCAATCTCTATCAAAATACCTGACATTCTTCACATAAATAGGAAAAAAAAATCCTAAAACTTATATAGAACCATAAAAGACTCAGAATAGCCAAAACTATCCTGAGTAAAAAGAACAAAACTGGACGAATCACATTACCAGGCTTCAAATTATACTACAGAGCTACAGTGACCAAAATGACATGGTATTGACATAAAAACAAGACATAAAGATCAGTGGAAGAGGGCCAGGCACAGTGGCTTATGCCTGTAATCCAAGCACTTCGGGAGGCTGAAGCAGGTGGAACCCTTTGTGTCCGGAATTGATGGGTTCTTGGTCTCACTGACTTCAAGAATGAAGCCGCGGACCCTCACGGTGAGTGTTACAGTTCTTAAAGATGGTGGATCCGGAGTTTGTTCCTTCAGACATTCAGATGTGTCTGGAGCTTCTTCTTTCTGGTGGGTTCGCGGTCTCGCTATCAGGAGTGAAGCTGCAGACCTTGCCAGTGAGTGTTATAGCTCTTAAAGACAGCGCCTCTAGAGTTGTTCATTCTTCCCGGTGGGTTCCTGGTCTTGCTGGCTTCAGGAGTGAAGCTGCAGACCTTCGCAGTATCACAGCTCTTAAAGGCAGCATGGACCCAAGGAGTGAGCAGCAGTAAGATTTAGTGCAAAGAGCGAAAAAACTAAACTACCATAGCGTGGACATGGACCCCAGTGGGTTGCCACTAGTTGACTCGGGCAGTCTACTTTTATTCCCTTACCTGGCCCCACCCATATCCTGCTGATTGGTCCACTTTACAGAGAGCTGATTGGACCGTTTTGACAGGGTGCTGATTGGTGCATACAATCCTCTAGCTAGACATAAAAGTTCTCGCAAGTCCCCACTAGGTTAGTTGGATAGAGTACCAATTGGTGTATTTGCAAACCCTGAGCTAGGCACAGAATGCTGATTGGTGTATTTGTGATCTCTTAGCTATACATAAAGGTTCTCCAAGTCCTCACTAGACTCAGCAGCCCAGCTGGTTTCACCTAGTGGATCACGCATGGGCGCTGTAGGCGGACCTGCCCGCCAGTCCCTAGCGGCCCCTGCACTCCTCAACCCTTGAGTGGTTGATGGGACTGGGCGACATGCAGCAGGGGGCGGTGCCGGTCGGGAGGCTCGGGCTGCGGGAGAGCCCACTGCGAGTGGGGGTGGGAGGCTCGGATATGGCGGGTTGCAGGTCCCCAGCCTGCCCTGCCGGGAGGCAGCTAAAACCTGGCAAGAACTCCAGCGCAGTGCTGGTGCGCTGGCACCTTCTGCAGCTGCTGGCCCGGGTGTTAAGCCCCTCACCACCCTGGGCCAGTGGTGCTGGCTGGCTGCTCCGTGTGCAGGGCCCACAGGGCCCGCCGAGCCCGTGCCCGCCAGAACTCGCGCTGGCCCACCAGCACCACGCGCAGCCCCGGTTCCCTCCCGCGCCTCTCCCTCCACACCTCCCCGCAAGCAGAGGGAGGCGGCTCCAGCCTGGGCCAGCCCAGAGAGGGGCTCCCACAGTGCCATAGCAGGCTGAAGGGCTCCTCAAGCACTGCCAGAATGGACCTGAGGCCGAGGAGGTGCCGAGAGCGAGGGCTGCTAGCACGTTGCCACCTCTCACCTTGATGTCAGGAGTTCAAGATCAGCTTGGCCAACAGGGTGAAACTCTGTTTCTACTAAAACTACAAAAATTAGCTGGGCATGGTGGCTTACACCAGTATTCCTAGCACTTTGAGCACTTTGGGAGGCTGAGGCAGGCAGATCACTTGAGGCCAGGAGTTTGAGACCAGTCTGGCCAACATGGTGAAACCTTGTCTCTACTACAAATACTAAACTTAGCCAGGTATGGTGGCATGCACTTGTAATCCCAGCTACTTGAGAGGCTGAGGAAGAAGAATCGCTTGAACCCGAGAGGTGGAGGTAAAAGTGGGCCAAGATCTCACCACTGCACTTCAGCCTGGGCGACAGAGGCAGACTCCATCTCAAAAACAAAAACAATGGAACAGAATAGAGAACCTAGAAACAACTCCATACATCTACAGTCATTTTTGACAAAGGTGCCAAGAACATACATTGGAGAAAGGACAGTCTCTTTAATGAACGGAGCTGGGAAAACTGGATAGCCATATGCAGAAGAATGAAACTAGACCTCTATTTCTCACCATACACAAAAATCAAATCAAAACGGATTAAAGACTTAAATCTAAGATCTGAAACTATGAAACTAGTAAAAGAAAACATTGAGGAAGCTCTCTAGGACATTGTGCTGGGCAAAATAGATGTTGAGTAATACCCTAAAAGCACAGGCATTCAAAACAAAAATGGATAAATGTGATCACATCAAGTTAAAAAGCTTCTGCACAGCAAAGGAAACAATCAACAAACAGACAATCCACAGAATGGGAAAAAAATATTTGCAAACTATCCGTCTGACAAGGGATTCGTAACAAGTATATATAAGGAGCTTGAACAACTCAATAGGAAAAATTATAATAATCTGAGTTTAAAAAGCACAAAAGGGCCAGGCACAATGGTTCACACCTGTAATCCCAGCACTTTGGGAGGCCAAGGCAAGAGGATCACTTGAGGCCAGGAGTTCAAGACCAGCCTGGGCAACATGGTCAGGCTGTTTTTTTGTAGAAACCCCATCTCTACAAAAAAAGAAAATAAAAAAATAAGAGAAAATTTAGCTGGGTGTGGTGGTGCACACCTCTAGTCCCAGCTATTCAGAAGGCTGAAGTGGGGGGGATTACTTGAGGAGTTCGAAGCTGCAGTGAGCTATGATCAAACCACTGCATTCCAGCCTGGGTGACAGAGTAAGACCCTGTCTTAAAAACATTTTTTTTTTAATGGGCAAAAGATGTGAATAGACATTTATCAAAAGAAGACATACAAATGACAAGTATATGAAAAGGTGCTCAACATCACTCATCACCAGAGAAATGCAAATCAAAACTACAATGAGATATCATTTCATTGCAGTTAAAATGGCCTATATCCAAAAGACAAGCAATAACAAATGCTGATGAGGATGCGGAGAAAAGAGAACCCTTGTACACTGTTGGCAGGAATGTAAATTAGTACAGCCACTATGGAGAATAGTTTGGAGATTCCTCAGGAAACTAAAAATAGAGCTACCACATGATCCAGCAATGCCACTGATAGGTATATACCCCAAAGAAAGGAGATCAGTATATCTAAGATATACTTGCACTCCCATGTTTATTGCAGCACCGTTCACAACAGCCAAGATTTGGAAACAACCTAAGCATCTATCAACAGACAAATAAAGAAAATGTGGTTTATGTACACAACATAGTAGCATTCAGCCATAAAAAAAAATGAGATCCTGTTATTTGCAACAAAATGGATGCAACCGATGTCATTATGTTAAATGAAATAGGCCAGGTACAGAATGACAAACTTTGCATGTTCTCACTTACTTGTGGGAGCTAAAAATTAATTGAACTAACAGAGATAGAGAGTAGAATGATGGTTACAAGGCTGGGCAGGGTAGTGGGGAATTAAGGAGTGGAGTGGGGATGGTTAATTGGTACAAAAGTATAGACAGAATTGGATCTAGTATTTAACAGCACAAGAGTGACTATAGTCAACGATAATTCATTAAACATTTAAAAATAACTAAGAGTATAATTGGATTGTTTGTAGCACAAAGAAAGGATAAATATTTGAGATGGCTACTCCATGTACCCTGATGTGATTATTATTGTATGCCTGTATCAAAATCTCATGTACCTCATAAATACCATGTACCCACAAAAAATAAAAATAAAAAAAATTAAACGAATTTTGTGGATTAGATTGGCACAACTTTCAGGAATTTATGTGTTTATTTTTAATTTTTGTGGTTACATAGTAGGTGTATATATTTAAAAATATGGAACCCTTTCACGAATTTGCATGTTACCCTTGGGCAGCGGCCATGCTAATGTCTGTATTGTTCTAATTTTAGTACATGCGCTGCAGAATTAAGCACTGCTTTCAGGAATTTAAGTACTTTATTTTATTATTATTTTTTTTGAGACGGAGTCTCACTTTTTGGCCCAGGCTGAGTGCAGTGCCGGATCTCAGCTCACTGCAACCTCCGCCTCCGGGTTGAAGCGATTCTCCTGCCTCAGCCTCCTGAGTAGCTGGGATTAAAGACACGTGCTACCACGCCCGGGGCTAGTTTTTGTATTTTTTAGTAGAGACGGGTTTCACCATGTTGGTCAGGCTGGTCTGGAACTTCTGACCTCAGGTGATCGACCAGCCTCGGCCTTCCAAAAGGAATTTAGGTACTTTAAAATGCTGTTATGTATGTTAACGGAAAAGTAACTACATGCTTCGTTTTCAGAACCAACCACATTCAAATGAAATGAGCGTGTCGAACCGACAAAAGCTCAAAAAAAAAAAAAAAGAAAAGAAAAACATATAATTCTTAAAAGTGGTTAATATACTCTTAGATTGCATAACCCTGGTGGCAGTCTGAGTCCTGATTTTCTTTTAAGCTCCCAAGACTCCAAAATACCTGCTCATTACAAGTCTGTTCAGTGACAACATTCAGTAAAACTTAACATTTGTTTTACAAAATTATATTGAAATATATAAACGAACGCGTATTTTAAGCACAAAAATACGGCTTTTTTGGAAGCGGAGCTAACCATTTCCGTAGAAAAGCAGATGCAATCAATCTCTCCTGGGTTTTGTCCTCCCCACCTCTGATTTTTGACAAACCGAATAAGGACACTCACTACTGAATACTTTTCTGACTCCCTATTGTATCACAAACGCCTGCAGGGGCTTAAAAAGCAGCAAGCGTTCCCGCCCTTCCCCACAGACCGGTGTGGTCTGGGGCGGGCCTGAGCACCTGGATTTTCACCCAGCGTGCTGGTAATTCCTACACTTGTGTGTGTTTGAGAGACATAAAGAAGAGAGGATGACCTCTTCCCGGAAGCGGGACTTCCATAAAAGAACCGTCGGGGGCGGGTCCCGGGCACCTGTGGTTTGGTGAGTCCCCCAGGTGACTGTGATGCGCAGGTCAGGGGTGGAGGCACCCGGAAGCTCCCGCGGTCTGCACCCCAGCAGCGCGAGGAAATGCCCAAAGGTGGGTTCTCAGGCGTGGGAAGCTCGACCCTTCCTGGGGTCCTCGGCGAGGTGGCCGAGGACGCGCCTTACGTCAGGACCTCCGCCGGGCCGTCTGGGTGGCCCGAGTTCTCAGCAGCTTCTTTTCCGCTCGTCCCTCGGCCCTCTCGGCGCGCACCCACCAGCCTCACCAAGTCGCACACGGAGGGGCGGCGGGAACCAGACCGAGGTCCAGGTCCCGATTGCTGCCGCTGGGGCCGCGCGGTTTGCCGGCAGACCTCGGCTCCCTGCCCGCGCAGCCTCGGCTCCGTCAGGCCCGGCCCCTCGCCCAAGCCCCGGCTCCACCAATCGCAGACTTCGCCCGCCGCCGCCGCACCTGCGAGGAGGGGCCCGCGCGCCGCCGCCGCCGCCGCCGCCGTCGCAGCGTCCCCGCCCTGCTCCGCCCCTACCGCGGCGCCCGGAGATCACCCGCCTCCGGCGCCTGGCTCCCCACAGGCGAGGAGCGGAAGCCGCTATCTGGAGGCGGACTCCGGCGCCACAGAGCCGGGGCAGCCGCGGCAACGGCGAGGTGCGGGGCAGGGGCGCCCGGCAGACCCCGCGACCCCGAGCGAGCGGGCGCCCGGAGCGGGCAGCCTCGCCGGGGGAGGCGGAGGCGGCCACGGCGGCCGCGCTCGGGCGCCCCTCGCGCAGCGCTCCATGCCCGTGTGGTGCTGCCGCTGCTCCCTGGCCGGTCATTTCAGGTGACTTCCTCGCCGAGGATGGGAGGGGAGCAGGCGGGGATGCAGCGCTCTCGAGCTCTTTGGCCTGGCCGGAGTCGGGACTGGGGTGGAGGGCGAGCGCCGGGACCGCAGCGTCCTACCGCCTCGGCCGTCCTGCTGGGCGTGGGGGTGGTGTGGGGTGCGGTGTGGCGGGGTCCTTGCTCCGGGGAGCCTTGCGCTGTTGTTCCCTTTTCTCGCGCTGGACCGCGCGGGTCACGGGACTGCGGGACTGGCTAGGCCCGGGCTGAGTCGGTTACGGCGAGCTGAGACTTCCCAGTAGTGCAAAGTTTTAGCGAAGGTTTCTACGAAGTGCCTGCCTCCCTAAAAAAAATTATTTCTTAAAAAGTCTTCTAAATAATGTAATGAGTGGGAGGAAGGTAGGGAACTACATTTCAGTGTCATCTAGTTACAAATAGATTCTGCCTTGGTTAAGATGTTAGCCATGGTAAGTCGTGTGTGTTGTAGAAATTTAAAGAATGAGGCGATTTTACACTCACCTTATGGAGAAAGTTTTTAGGGATGATAGAAGATAATACGTTTCTAAAATAAAAGTATGTTTTCTAGATCTAGCACATTTGGTCAACACCTCAGTCATTGGTGGAAAGACCAGACATTAGAAACTGATTTTAACCCTGGGGTGAAGAATTGTTAAGCTTAGGGAATACCTTAGTACCTTGCTTTACATATACTGATGTTCCAGAATAATTCTATGTAAGACTTCTTTCCTGGTAAAATATGAAATTCTGATCAAGCGTTCCTAAATTACGGGTTTTCTAGATAGAATTTAGGTAACACATGAACTTAGATGGAAAGAAAGGTATATCATTTCTCTAAATTTTAAAAACTAATATTCAGTTACAAATATAAGCAACAAATCACAGTAGTATGTGTGACTGTCATCAGTAGAGATCATAAATATGTTTGTATCACATTGCAGTTGTAAATATAGAAATGCTGTGTATACTTACTCAAAATTATAGTAACACATTACTGAATTTATTGAATGCAGTGGAGAAGCACATGTACATACATATCACGTTTACTTTTTATGACTGTTTTAATAGAATTGGTTTTCTTGTAAATCCTGTGTATATTTAAGAACAGTATTCAGAGAAGCGGTCAAGAAGCGTCATCCTGTAGTAAAAAAGATGTAAGGCACAGAGAAAGTTCGGAACTTCTTTTGTAATAGTGGTAATCCAAGCTTGTCTAACCTCTCAGTGAGTTTTGAATGAGTCTCTTAAGTTGTGGATATTAAGGAAAAATAGTTTCATACAATAAACTGCTTGATTTTAACTTTTAGGTGAATTTGTTGACTACTAAGACAGCGGTTTGAGAGTATCAGATTCTCTATGGAAAGTTTTAGGAAATAGGTTCCCCTAGTGAAACTTGTTAAACTAAATAAAGCCCATGAGAAACTAGCATGCGTTTCAGAAAAATATTGAAAGCTATTTGACACCTTTTGATATACAGTGTAGAATTCATATTCTTTTGACTAACTCTGGGTGGTGAATACCATTTGCTTCCTGCTGTGCACAGAAATTTGGAGTAGGGAGTGAAAACCAAGTATTTGCTATGTTTTGGTCTTGAGGGACAGAAAGGAAAACAAGCTAGCTGCCAAAGATAAACATTATGATTAATAAACCACACTTTTTATTGCAAAAACAGTTCTGTTGTGTCTAAAGTTTTTTTTTTTGTTTTGTTTTGTTTTGTTTTGTTTACCAGCTCCTTCAGGAATATGTTTCTGATTTACCAATGCTATTTCTCGAGCAGTTTCAAGTCAGGAGTTCAGGTCAGCATGGCCAACATGGTAGAAATCCCGTCTCTACTAAAAACACAAAAATTAGCTGGGCATGGCGGTGTGTGCCTGTAATCCCAGCTACTTGGGAGGTTGGGGCAGGAGAATAGCTTGAACCCAGGAGACAGTTTACAGTGAGCTGAGATCGCACCACTGCACCCCAACTGGGCGACAGAGTGAGACTCTGTCTCAAAAAAAAAAAAATACAGATTATAAAACAGATTGTGGCATCTGTATTGTCTAACATCTGAATGGATAAGTAGTGAGAGAACTGTCCTTATTTTCCAACGGAAAAATCTTCTTTTGTGTTCTGGAAGATGAAGAGTGTGACTGACTTCCTTTGTGGCTTTAGAACCTTCTTTCCATGTGGTAGTATACATTTGATAAATTTTAGGATCATGGTTCCAAAGACTATAAAAATTCAGTTAGTAAAACATTTCATTTTAGTTTGAATGATCATTTAAACACGTGCTTCTGCTATAGTATGGAAAAAGTCTTTTTGTTGTCCAGATACTATGTCTACACTCTCCTTTGAATTGTTCTCTGAAACTTTGTGCTGTAATGTTTCAAAAACAAAAAATGGAAGGCCTCTAAAAGCATCTTAAATGTCAAATAGGCTTTTAACTTGCTTCCTAACAATAGAATAACTAATTTTGCATGTAAAGTGCTGTTCTTTAGTAGTTGCTAAATGTAATTGTGCATATTTTCCAATTTTAATTTGTGTCTCAAAGAAAAAGTGGATTTTTATTACTCAAAATAAGTTCTTGTTTTAAATAGAATATCAAATTGGAAATCTAGAGATTAACACTGTTCATAGACTTGTGATATACTGTGCATGTACTATAAAACATGTACAGCAATACTGAGTTTACAACTTAAGCTCTGAATTTTTTTAGAAAGAATAATTATTAAAAGTCTTGTTTAATTAATGTTTTATGTAAAACCAGTGAATCACACTTTCTGTTTTTTGTTTCCTTGTTTTTCTTTGTGTTAAACAACTATCAAATAGTAGGCAGGTTTACTGCAAATAGTTTATCACACAGTTTATACCAGTGGCTCCTGAAAAATCAGAGCAAATTACCTATACTGTGTAAATTTAGATAAACTAATGTGTAGGAAATTTGAATAAACTAAACTTTGGTTCTTCATTGCTTCAGGGCTGCACACGCAAAAAACTACTAGACCTAATATATAAATGCAGCGATATTGCAGGATGCAAAATCAACATACAAAAGTGAATTGTATTTCTATACATTAACATTGAACAATCTGAAAATTAACAAAGGAATTTCATTTATATAATAGCATCAAAAAAATGAAATACTTAAGAATAAATTTAATAAAAAATGCAATACTTGTACACTGAAAACTACAAAATGTTGAGAGAAATTCCATGCCTTTGCTATTGTGAATAGTGCTGCAGTGAATGTACACATGCATGTGTCTGTATAATAGAATGATTTATATTCCTTTGGGTATATATCCAGTAATGGGATTGCTGGGTGGAATGGTATTTCTGTCTTTAGGTCTTTGAGGAATCACCACACTGTCTTCCACAGTGGCTGAACTAATACACTTCCCCCCAACATATAAGCATTCCCTTTTCTCTGTAACCTTGTCAGCATTTGTTATTTTTTGACTTTTTAATAGCCATTTTGACTGGTGTTAGATGGTGTCTCATTGTGGTTTTGATTTGCGTTTCTCTAATGAGTGATGTTGAAATTTTTTTCGTGATTGTTGGCTACAGGTATGTCTTCTTTTGAGAAGTGTCTGTTCATGTCCTTTGCCCACTTTTTTATGGGGTTGTTTTTTCTTGTACATTTAAATTCCTTATAGATGCTGGATATTAGACCTTTGTTGGATGCGTAGTTTGCAAACATTTTCTCCCATTCTGTTGGTTGTCTGTTTACTCTGTTGGTAGTTTCCTTTGCCATGCAGAAGCTCTTTAGTTTAATTAGATGCCATTTGTCAATTTTTTTTTGCTTTTGTTGCAATTGCCTTTGGCATCTTCCTCATGAAACTTTGCTTGTGCCTGTGTCCTGAATGGTATTGCCTAGGTTGTCTTCCAGGGTTTATACAGTTTGGGGTTTTATATTTGAGTCTTAAATCCATCTAGGGTTACTTTTTGTATGTGGTATAAGGAAGGTATCTAGTTTAGATCTTCTGCATATGGCTAACTAGTTATCCCAGCACTATGTATTGAACAGGGTATCCTTTCCCCATTGCTTATTTTTGTCATGTTTGTCAAAGATCAGATAGTTACAGGTGTGTGGTCTTATTTCTGGGTTTTCTCTTCCATTGGTCTGTGTGTCTGTTTTTGTACCAGTACCATGGTGTTTTGGTTACTGTAGCCCTGTAGGATAGTCTGAAGTCAGGTAAGGTGATGCTTCCCACTTTGTTCTTTTCACTTAGGATTGCCTTGGCTATTTAAGTTCTTTTTTGGTTTCATATGAATTTTAAAATAGTTTTTTCTAGTTCTTTGAAGAATGTCATCGGGAGTTTAATGGGAATAGCAATGTACCTATAAATTGCTTTGGGCAGTTTGTGTGAATTTGTATGGCCATTTTAATGATACTGATTCTTCCTACCCATGAATATGGCATGTTTTCCCATTCGTGTTAGCTCTGATTTCTTTGAGCAGTGATTTGTGTCATCTCTGATTTCTTTGAGCAGTGGTTTGGAGGTTTCTGATCAAACTGACTTTGATCAGAAGCCTCCAAAGGTACAGGAGAACCTAACCTTTGCACATACTTTGGAGAAATATCAGGGACAGAGCAGAATATAAAACATGTGAAATGCAGTTGCCAAGAGGTGGAAGCAGGCACAGGCAAGACAGCTGATGCATCTGGATCTGATCAGAGGCAGTAGTTGGAATGAATCAGAAATCGATGGATTGAGCATATAAAACTTCCTCCCAAGGGTAGACTTGCACTGTGAGAAGGGTTTTCCCCTAGTAGCCATGTCTGATTGGTGTCTGTTTTGGTCAAAAGAGGCTATGTAAGAGGAAACCAAATATTTGGGGTACAGGTCAAGAAAGCTCTCAGTGTGTCCTGAGTAAGTCTGCCCTATCCTAGGGTAGATTGGGAACTCTGAAGTTTATAGGGAAGTAGAAATTCCTGTCTCTGCCTGATTCTTTTCTTTGTGTCAGCCTCCTCTGGGATCAGTGAGTTCAATCCTGTGAAATAACTGATCCATCCCATGCTTGTTTATCATTTGAGAGTAGTAATAAACACACCCACTAGTAGGTACTTAATTTAATACTTCCAGACATTGTGGTTGTTGCTGACTGTATGAAGATAAAATTAAGGGATTCTATTCTAAAGTAACTGTAGTATAATGCAGAACATTAGCTGTTCAGGAGATACTCCATGTATTGCATGAAAATGTGAGAATGCTAAAACTAATTTCTAGAGAGCCAATTGAGAAAGAAAAATTGGAAAATAACATTAAGATATAATTTTAATATATTTTTGAAATATATTTAATATATTTTTGGTAACATAGCGAGATCCTGTCTCTACCAAAAAATATTTTTAAAATTAGCCAAGTGTGGTGGCACACCTGTAGCCCCAGCTACTCTGGAGGCTGAAGGAAGAGGATCACATGAGCCCAGGAGGTGGAGGCTGCAGTGAGCCATGCTTGCGCCATTGCACTCCAGCCTGGGTGACAGAGCAAGACCTTGTTTCAAAAAATATATATATATATATACACACACACACACACAGTATATATATATATAGTATATATGTAATACTTTTCTGAGTAAAAATGTATACACCTAATTTCTTATACCAAAGTGCACAATTTATAATGTATAAATACCATAACTTTTTCTTAAAATGTGTATGACTATATATTGTCTTTAATGCACTCACCTTTTAAAAAGAAAAATGTAGAGGAGAAACTAGCCCTTTCTAGACTAGTTTCAGAGAATTATGAACTCCCCAACGCAGTGCTGTCTTTGATCTTGAGAGAGGTGCTTATTTCATAGGGACTTGACTACAAGATACTTGTGAGAGAAAAGCAGCTATTAATATTTGGAATTTTTGAGAAAAGCAGCTATTAATATTGGGGATATTTGGCGTTCAAGTTGGTATAGGTTGACATGTAGCGAAGCTATTAATTTGAAAGCATTAGTCGGAAGGATTTTCTTTCTTCTTTTATGAAACGATTAAAATATTTTATGTCAAAATCAACTCAGAGTAGAGATTGATTTTTGTAAAGGCTATATTGACTATATCTCTTTTTGTTCCCTTTTTTTAAAAAGAAACTATAGTGACACTGAAACTGAAGGAGAGATTTTTAATTCCTTAGTGCAATACTTTGGTGATAATTTGGGGCGAAAAGTTAAAGCGATGCCATTAGTTGAAGAAACTTCTTTACTGGAAGATTCATCAGTGACTTTTCCTGTGGTAATAATAGGTAAGTTATTGTATTTTATCTTTTAAAATTACATTTATGACCCTTAATACTTTTATAAATCTACAGTTGGTACAAGTTCTTAAGATTTTATTGAAAAGTGTTCTTAGGTGGTTTGATATGCTAAAAAACTAATAACCAAATCTTTGGAGAGTAATTGGTTTATCTGATTTTAGCATCTGTGTTAAAATGCAGTGTCTTTTTACTGAAGAACTGATATTACTACATTATTTTAAAATACCTCCTACATTTGTATTAATTATATGACAGTGTCATGGTGATGTGATAATATTATTAGAGCTCTGAAGAGTGTTCTATGTATATTATTGGATAATACCTTACAACTTTGTAGACTTCTGATGTTGGTAGGGCAGGTACAGACAGAGAAACTGACACAGAAATGGAGTAACTTGTGCAAGTTAGTAACTGGTGCTCAATTAGCAATGACATTATAGTACTCTAAGGTGATGTTTATAATTACTTTAACCACAACATTACTATTTTATATCCTTTGTATCACCTCAACAGATAGGCATATAAGATATTAAAAATTTAACTATTAATACAACCTAGTTCAGATTTAGAAACTTTTATAATTTAGTTTTATTGCATGCATTTAATTACTTGTTATGTATATTTTTCATCTAATATACAAACGCGAGGAATTCAGACAAGGAATATAGGGTGAAGCTAACTAAGACAAAGGAGAGAGTTAAGGAATATAGGTGGCTTCGTGGCTTATGACTTCCTATGTTTCTTTGATAGTTTGTTTCAAAGTTAGTAGGAAGGGGAGAAAATTCATGTCTTCTGGCTTGTGGGAGATACTGTAAAGGAAGGAAAAGAGGAGAGCAAGATTGTTCGTCTATACTAGGTTCTATACTAGATTCTCCTCTACAGTATATGATAGAGATGACAGTTTTTGTAATAGTTCTCAACCAAGAGATATCAGGGACCATAACGTTATGTTTCGTTTTCCCCCTTACGTCTAACCTTGGTTTTCTGTCCTGAATGAATGGAGGAACCCTGTCTTCTTGTGTGGCTAGGCTGTGGGAAGGTCAGAAAAGAAAAACTTAACCTTCATTTGCACCTGCCCACTCCACTCCCCACAAAACAGCCTATCCCCGTTTTGCCTCAGCTAGCTGTGAGTAGCTTAACCTCGTGTGTATTTGTATAGTGTCATTACTGTTGACAATGGCACCACCAGCCTGAGCATAAAGAGCTAATTAATATATGTTTTCTGTTGCTGCTGTAACAAATTACCACAAACCTAGTGGCTTTAAACAATGTGAGTGTGTTATTCTACTGTTCTGTGGGTCAGGAGTTCAACATGAGTCTTCTTGGGCCAAAATCAAGGTGTTGGCAGGACTGTGTTGCTTTCTGGAGGCTCTAGGTAAGAATGTTTCCTTTTCCTGGCTCCCTTCTGTAGCTTCAAAATCAGCAATGTTGTTTCTTAACCTTCTTTCATTGTCATGTTCCCCTTTCACCACAACTGAGAAAAGTTCTCTATTTTTAAGGACTCTTGTGATTAGATTGGGTCTACCTGGGTAATCTAGGTTACTCTCCATCTCAGGATCCTTAGTCGTATCTACAGATTCCTTTTGCTGTGTAGTAACATTTGCAGGTTATGGGGGATAGGTCTGGGACATCTCTGGGCGCAGTGGATCAAGCCTGTAATCCCAGAGCTTTGGGAGGCCAAGGTGGGCTGGATCACCTGAGGACAGGAGTTTGAGTCCAGCCTGGCCAACATGGTGAAACGCTGTCTGTACTAAAAATACAAAAATTAGCCAGGTGTGGTGGCAGGCAACTGTAATCCCAGCTACTTGGGAGGCTGAGGCAGGAGAATTGCCTGAACTCAGGAGGTGGAGGTTGCAGTGAGCCAAGATCGTGAGAACTTGGGCGACAAGTGAAACTCTGTCTCAAAAAAAAAAAAAAAGAAGGCTGGGCCTGGTGGCTCACACCTGTAATCCCAGCACTTTGGGAGGCCGAGGTGGGCAGATCACAAGGTCAGGAGATTGAGACCATCCTGGCTAATAGGGTGAAACCTTGTCTCAACTAAAAATATAAAAAATTAGCTGGGTGTGGTGGCGGGCGCCTGTAGTCCCAGCTACTTGGGAGGCTGAGGCAGGAGAATGGTGTGAACCCGGGAGGCGGAGGTTGCAGTGAGCTGAGATTGCGCCACTGTATTCCAGTCTAGGCAACAGAGCGAGACTGCGTCTCAAAAAAAAAAAAAAGAAAGATTAGTTCTAAATATTTTTTTATTTTTCTTTCAGTCTTTAAGGCTTCCTATTCTAGTATTATAAGTTGAAATCTTCCTCTGCTTTCTCTATTTCTAGTATTCTTATGTTTTACTTTTCTTACATCTTTGAGTATATTTTATTTGGGGTAACATATTAGGCAAGGAACAGGATTTTTGCTTTGTGGCTAGCAGTTCTCTCAGTTGGATTAAATTTTTAAAAGGCAGAGATAATAAAGAAGTGGCAATCCAGAATAAAGGAATTGTTAATTCATAAATGGAAGTAGTTCAAGTAATCCAGTTTGGTTTTAGTTAAAGCATATAAACATATAGGAAGGCGATATCAGCATTTAGGACTGGAAAGATGGTTGAGACTAGAACGTGTGTAATCACCTGGCGGTTTCTTGCCTGCTGCACAGCCAAAACCAGTTCACTGAGATCATGGCATTGCAGTAAAGAGTTTGACACAAGGCCAGCCCATATGAGAGAACTGCAGTTATTCAAATTAGTCTCCTTATAAAACTCCTGATTGGTCGGGTGCAATGGCTCATACCTGTAATCCCAGCACTTAGGGAGGCCATGTTGGGTGGATCACGAGGTCAAGAGATCAAGACTGTCCTGGCCAACACGCTGAAACCCCGTCTCTACTAAAAATACAAAAATCAGCTGGGTGTGGTGGCACACGCCTCTAGTCTCAGCTACTTGGGAGGCTGAGGCAGGAGAATTGCTTGAACCCAAGAGGCAGAGGTTGCAGTGAGCTGAGATTGCACCACTGAACTCCAGCCTGGTGACGGAGCAAGACTCCATCTCAAAACAAAACAAAAAACAAAAAAAAACCGAAACAAAACTCCTGATTCCTCCTGATGGCTTGGAGGTTAGAATTTTTCAAGGATAGTTGGGTGAACAGGGGACTAGGAAATAGGGTGCTGCTGATTGGTTGGGGATGCCGTGCTAGGGTTTCGAAAATGATTCTCTAGTACTGAGTCCAACTCTGGGTGGGGAACCACAGGACTGGTTCAGTTGAGTCTTGGGTCTGAGTCTTGAATCTTGGGAACAGTAGAGTCAGACAGTCATCAGAAATGCAAAAGTCTGAAAAGACATTTCAAAAGGCCAACCTCAGGATCTACAATAGCGATGTTATCTGTAAGAGCAATTAGGGAAGTCACACATCTTGTGACCTCTGGCTACGTGACTCTTCAGCAGTACAGAATTATAGACACTCTGCCTACATCTTAGCAGAATTCAGGCACCTCTCATAATCCTAACCTTGTGGCCTTTCATTAGTTTTAGAAAGGCAGTTTAATTTTGGGAAGGACTGTTACCATCCTTAAACTATAAATTCCTTCCTTGGTTAGCTTTGCCTATACCTAGGAATGAGTGAAGACAGCCAGCCTTTGAAGCTAGAAGCAAGATGGAGTCAGCCATGTTAGATTTCTCTCACTGTCATAGTCTTTGCAAAAGTTATTTCAAATGGAGAACACTGGATAGTCAGAAACAAATTATTAAGACCTTTAGAATGGAAGGGTAACATGATGAGGATTGTGTGTTACCAAAACTTATCTGAATGGAGTATGTGAAATGATTGAAAGTGGGTGAATCTCAGGGCAGAGAAACAGTAGGAGACTTGTCTTTTAGGTGAAAGTACAGGAATGAGAATAGCAAAGACAACTGACAGGATATGGGGGGCAAGCTAGGTTTAGAACCAGAAACTGATTAACTTAGAAGTTTGCTAGTACCGTATTTTGAGATAGGATAGGGTTAGAAGGAGAGGGCACCTCAGTGAAGGGACTTATGAGCTTGCTTTTGAGCACATTATGTTTAAGTTATTAGTGGGCCACTCTGTCAGGTAGAGTCAAGAAATAGAATGGAAATGTGGAATATATCCTTGGGAAATAGGTCAATTTAGAGAACTGATTTTGGATGTCAGTAGCATAGAGAGTTGAAGCCTTGAGTAGATGAAATTCCCAAAAGAAAATAAGAGAGAAGGCAAAGGTAAAAATCTCATGAAATATCTGGTTTTAAGAGATTAGAAAAGGAAGAATTGGTGAGGGAAAAGAGCCATTTTCAAAGTAAGAAAAAAGCCAAGGAACGAGAGTATTAAGATGCATGACCTACCCCTTTCCACCTTTTATTTTTAATAGGAAATGGACCCTCAGGAATATGCCTTTCTTATATGTTATCAGGCTACAGACCATATTTATCATCAGAAGCAATACACCCAAATACAATCTTAAATAGTAAATTAGAAGAAGCAAGACATCTTTCCATTGTTGATCAGGTATTATTTCTTACATGTCAATTAAAAAAATTTGTTTATGCTGAAACAAGACTAGTTTTTATTTATATAAGCTTTGTTTCTTAGTTGAAACCCTTTATTCTAAATAACACGTTGTATCATTTTTATTTTAGATTCGTAAATATATTCTGAGTTACTTCTGTTTATTTTCTTGAATTTATTAGAGCAGAGTTTTCTGAATTATTTCCTAGTGGAGATTTAGTAGGTGCTCTGTGGTCAAGTTTGGGAGTACTGCTTTTTATCATTGGAGCATCATGGTAGACATTAGAATATACTATCTGGGAAATGCTGGCTTTTTTCAAACTCTGTCTTCCTTTTGTTCATTCAGGACTTAGAATACTTGTCTGAGGGCCTTGAGGGCCGATCATCCAATCCAGTTGCAGTGCTTTTCGACACACTTCTTCATCCAGATGCTGACTTTGGGTATGATTATCCATCCGTTTTGCATTGGAAATTAGAGCAACATCATTATATCCCTCACTTAGTTCTTGGTAAAGGTCCACCTGGTGGAGCTTGGCATGTGAGTATATTTTTCAGCATTGTAGTGTGTGTGAATTATTTGTCTTGATAAGACCAAGTTGATTCTTAAGCATTATGATAATGTTATAAATGATGTTTATAACATTTTTATTTGAGAAGAATTTTAATGCTGTTCAGTTAGTTAAATAGGGGTTTATTACTAGTAGCAGTAAATCAAGCCAAATTTTATTACCGGTACAGTCTTAGAATAAGCATGTCTCTATACTCTCTTACAAGAATTATGTAGAAGACATTTCAAGAATGTTTTGTTTAATAAATATATAAAACTCACTTATTCATTTTAGACTTTACAGAATCTCACGTAGTATTTCAAAGCAGTATCCATTATTTTCTCACATTTGCAGAATCTTAAGTGAAAAACGTAAAGGAGGTTGTATTAGTCTGCTTGTCTGCGATAACAAAATGCCATAGAATTGATGGCTTAAACAACAGACTTCGTTCTCACAGTTCTGGAGGCTGGAAGTCCCAAGATGAAGGTTCCAGCCAGTTCAGTTTCTCATAAAGGCCCTCTTCCTGGCTTTCAGATAGCTGCCTTCTCAGTGTGTCCTCACATAGCAGAGAGAGAGAGAAATTTTCTCTTCTTATGAAGCCAGTAATCCCATTCTGAGGGACCCACCCTCATGACCTCATCTAGCTCTAATTACCTCCCAAAGGCCCTGTCTCCAAAAGCATCACACTGGGGGGTCAGGACCTCAACATAAGAATTTTGGGGGTAGATACAATTCAGTTCATAGCAGAGGTTAAACCAGAGAACCAGTGAATTAAAGATTCACTCAGTACATTTCATTAGTGGGCCAGTGAGTAATAATTGTTCATCCTTCCTGTGTTCTTAGCAGTTAACACTGTGTCTAGTGTGTAGTGAGTGTTCATTGGTTATACAAATTGATGTTAAGTAATTTAGTTTGCTATGTTATGAATTACAGACTTCATGGGAACTTTAATATATCACATACCAAATTTGTAGTAGAAACTTCAGTTGGCTATTCGTATATTAGTGCACTTTTGCACATCTGAAAAGTTGTTTATGTTTATAAAATGACTGTTTCAGGATATCGGGACATTCCTAGATTAAATATATCATGGGTTTCTTTTAAAATCTTTATTCTCTTTTTAATAATGAGTAGCAACTACTAAATTATTTGTTGCTTTTAGCTTAAGTTTTATGATGTTTACTTTTTAATATCAACTTTAAGCTTAATTTATTTACAGTAAGCTGCATCCATTTAGAATGTATAATTTGATGAGTTGTGACAAATGCCTGTAACTGTGAAACCACCAATACAAGACAAGAAAGAATTCTGTCATGCCCAAACCTTAAGTGTTTATATTTGCTGTTAATTAGTAGCATTCTTTAAATAAAAAAAAAAAAAGCCATAATGTATTTGGAGGTGGAGAGGGCATTTAGACTGCCTTCTCTGAATTCCTGAGGTTTTATTTTACTTACATTTTTCTGTTTTGAAGAATATGCAGGCAATAATTGATGTTTCATTTCTTTCACTTATGTATAAAAAAGTTAAAGTATGGATAAACCCTGATTACCAAAAACACATTTTGAGCCAGTGGTAAAAGTTAAAATATACCTAAAAGTTGCTAATTTTTTTCAGGCATGTATTCACTAGAATAGGGCTGTAAGTAAGCAGTATTTCAGCTGTGTACCAGTTGTCAGTCATCACCTCTGTGAAGGTTATTGAAGGTCAAGACATAATTACTTGATCCTATCTGCATTCCATATCTTAATCTTACTGTGCTTGCCTGTAGTACTATTTATCTGTTTATGTGACCATCTCCCCTGCTATGGTTTATGTACATCCTAATTAACCTGAGTCATGGCTTAAGATGTAAACTTCTTGAGTCATCACCCCTCTCTCCTACTTACCTTCATATAGTTCTCTGTTTCTCTTGTGATCTAGTTTCTCATCACTCTTCTCTCTTCCAAACTTTCTGTGGCCCCTTGAACCAATTTAGTGGTAAACAACTTGTTTGCTTTGCCATATCTTTAACCATTCAGTCAGATGCTGCTTCTGCTCTCTTTCTTGAAAGCTTGCTATTTCCTAAAGGTACCATTCCCACTGCAGCCCTCTGAAGTGGAGCCTATTCATTCTCCCATAGCCCCATGTCCTATCAGGTTGGCTAATAAGGTTGGTCTTCTCTTCACACCCCTATGCACTTGTGTAAAAAGCCCTGTTCCATTGAACAGGTCATGCCATTTTCTAGCTTTTCTACCATTCCAGACTGTCTCCAGACTGTGTCCATTTCGGACTTTTTTACCATTCCAGACTGTCTCTAGTTACTGAACCTGTGGCACCTAATTCATGGTCTTCCATTATATCCCAAGTTTTATTATCACCTTGAAATAATTTTACCTCTACAAACATGACACAGAACCAAGATCTTAACCTTTTAGTTTCTTGGTCTCCTCATTCTCGACGATGTTGTATTCTTCATTGGCTACTGACTCCAGTGGCTCCATTGTAGATCTTACCTCTCGTAACTACTCAACTTGTAAAAACCTAAATTCTCAAATGTCTTCCTTTCTGATCAGAGTTTCCTGTTCTTCAAGCTTATCACCCAGTTATGCACACTATACATAATCTTTGAATACAGAGCATGCTCCTGGCCGTGATCTTCATATTACTTATCCAGCCCAGCTTCTATAGTCCATTGAGTTAACTGTTCTCTTTAATTCCCTTAACCCATTGTCCTTCTATCACATGGGTTTGTCAGATAGGCAGTTCATCTAACTATCCACTTTATCTTTTCTTGAGCAGTCAGACCCCCAGAAAAAAAAAATATATATACAACTGTGAAAATATTCTCTACTCTCAGTTGGGGCCAAAACATTACTATAAGCTTCGATATTTCCTTCTTTTCAAACCTTTATCTCTTTTTTCTCTTTCATGCTCAGATAGAAGTGCTCTTGGTTCTTATTTTACAGAGAAAATGTAATCCATTAGGATTGAACTTCCACAGTTTCATGCACAAACCTAAAACTTACACATTAATGCTAATTCTTTTTTTTATCCCGTTATAACGGAAGAGATATTACTACTATCTAAGGCTCACCTTCCAGCTACATTGTGGATCCCTATCTTCCCAAGAACATTATTTATTTGATTTTCCCCATTTCTTTTATAGCTTCAATTTATCTGCCAGCTTCTATTGGTCAGTATGTAAACATGCTAAAATTATTTCCATCTTTAAAAAAATTTTAGGTGCCAGCTGATCCTCATCCTTTGGTTTCTAACTGACTTCCTGAAAGAGTTGCCTATACATCCTCCTCCCTGCTTTGCCTTCTGCTCCTTAGCTTACTCACTCTACCTTCTGCCACTGGTTTTCCTTTGGAACTATTTTTTCTGAAAGTCAGTAACTTCCTTTTTTGCTTAATTTGATGACGAGTCTCTAAATTTATCTTTTCTGACCTTTGCAGCTTTTGACAGTGTTAATATCTTTCTTAGATTCTCTGAATCTTCAGTCTCCTTGTTTTTCTTCCTGTTTGGTCACTCCTTTTCTGATACCATTGTGGATTCTTGTCTTTTTTGTTGGTGTTTTTGAGACAGCGTCTCACTCTGTCATGCAGGGTGGAGTATAGTGGTACAGTCATAGCTCACTGCAGCCTTGGACCCCTGAGCTCAAATGACCCTCCTGCCTTAGCCGCCCAGTGCTGGGATTGCAGGCATGTGCCACCACACCCAGCTGACTCTTATTCTTTAAAAATGTGCTTCTTTAGACCTTATCCCAAGCCTGGGTCTTTTCTTCATGCTCTTCATTCTCCCTGGGTTATCTTACCTATTTCAGTGGCTTGCATATTGATATTAATTGATTCCCAAATCAGAATTCCCAAAATCAAAACCAGCCCAGATTGCTGTTTCTCATATATTCCCTTGATTATTCTGCAGGTGTCCTGAGACTTAATGTGCCTAAAGCTAACTATCTTTATCATCAAGTTCCTTCAATTTCCTTGTCATTAAATGACATTCTTATGTAGTTACTCAAGCCAGGAACCTGAGAGTCTTCCTTGATTTCTCTTTCTTCAACTCTCATTTCAAATTAATCACCAAATCTTTTTCATTTCTGATTTTTGGGTCCATCTATTTCGTTGCTAATATTGGTCACCACTGTCTTTCACCAGAATTACTGCAAACCCTTTCTAAATAGTTTTCTTACTCATTTTGTCTCCTCCAATCCATTATCCATACCAAAGCCAGACTCATCCTTCTAAATTACCTGTCTGAGATGTTACACCAATGCATAAAACTCTTCAGTTGCTCTCCATTCATCTAATATATAGTATGTAGACTTTGTAATGTATCTCACCATAGTCCGATCTAGCCCTTACTTAGGTTTCTTATCATATTCCTCTTTTTATCACTGACATTCTGTTCTCTAGCATGCTTTTGTTGGGGAGTCCAAGTTCATTCTCAGACTTGAAGATTCAGTAGGATTCACAGGACTCAGTAAAGATGGTGTACTTGTGGTTAAATTTTACTACTGTGAAAGGATACAGATAACAATCAGCAATGGGAAAAGTCTCACGGGGCAGAGTCCAAGTGTAAGTTTCTAGATATCCAATCATAGTAAAGTCACAGGTGTGGTGTCTAGGGATGTTTTCTGTGGGGTCAGTCATATAGGCCAGCAGCTCCCATGTGACTTACTTCGGCCTCCCAGAGCAAAAACTGATATTCACATAAATCACATTGTTACGATAAACTGTCAGGGTTACATTGGTATAGCATCGCCAAGGCCTTAGGCATGCAAAACCCATGCTCATCAGGTAGAGTATTCAAGGGCTCAGAAGTTATTTCTGAGAAGGTGGCAGCCAAGCTTGGTCCTGAAGACAGGCCTTTCTCGGTAATGTGAAAGGTTGGAACAACGCAGGCCTGCTGAGTTAATCTTATCAGGCACAAGGCTGAATTTCTTTTGTCTTCTTGAAGGACATTCATATTCGCTGTCTTTATTAAGCTGCCGCGTGAATTTTTATTTGGCCTTGAATGTTTTCCCTTTCTATTGGTACACTCCTCAGCCCATTTGTGTCCTTGAAGAACCAGATGCTTTCTGTATGCTCCTACAGTACTTCTATTTAGTTTGCATCCTTTAATACTACAGTCTCCATGACAGCTTGTCATGGCATATAGGTTACATGGGGAAGAAAGAAAGGTAGGAGAAAAGAGATCAAAGCACTAGGGCTCTCAACCAACTGGAAGAACTTGTGCAGTGGGAATAATGTTAAGAAATTGTTGTCAGAAAGTGAAATAGTGGTTTTTTAAGGGTTTAGAGTTACAGGTGAAACTCTCAGGTTCCAAATAATCTCCTATAGATAACACATTCTTAACAGCTCCTTTTATGATGATTCCAGGTTCTGAACCTGGTATCAGGGCTAGCCTCCCTCAAAGCAGGGTGGCAGCTTGCTGCATTCTCTTTCTTGGGTGATTTGTATACAGTCACAAATGATGCTTCACAGGGCCTAGCACATAGTAAGTACTCTGTGAATGTCAGTCAGTTATAATAATAATAGTATGTCCTGTTTTCAAACTGAGTGTTATAGAAGCAGGGCAAGAAGTTAGGAGAAAAGAAGCTACTGCCTAAAAGAGTTGATTGAAAGAGATCATAAAGGTCAAGATATAATAGATAATTGGCCTTTGGGCTTTTCTTGCTTTGTATTGAACAAAGCAGAAATAAGTAGGTCAAAGGAGCTTGATGGCAAGCAGTGCCTCAGCAGTGAGTATGTTTCTCAGGCATCCACTGCCTATTTCTGTATCTTTAAGAAGAGATGCTGCTGTATCCACATCAGCCTAGATTTTAGAATTATAATTGATGGAGGGGGCAAAAGCTTTGTTGCTAATTTTTAAAAAAAGTTAATATTAAAATGAAAAGCCATCTAAAATTTTGGAACTTAATGAACATTTTTCCTTTTGTTCAAAAAGTGAATATAGTGAATTTTTGTTTCCCTGACATAATATTGTACATCTGAATTATGTTGATCATAGACCAAAGTTATCAACATTGTGTAGGCATTGGGTAATACTGTAAATCTGTTTTCTAAATGTGTAACTATATGAAAGAAGGTTGTTGGGATAATATCAAATGATGAAGGCATATGAAAGTTTATTGGAGTAATGTTTTTGAGGTAAGTTATCCAACCATTTAGGACTGTGGGAGCGTACCTTATCCAGAGTCATAATTATTGTAAATGAGATGGATTTGGTTAAAAAATAGACAAACAAACAACAACAACAAAAATGTTACTTCTTGTTTTTTGATTGTACTTTTTTTTTCCCTTTAACTCTAATAGAATATGGAAGGCTCCATGTTGACAATCAGCTTTGGAAGTTGGATGGAGCTACCTGGACTTAAATTTAAGGACTGGGTATCAAGTAAACGAAGGTAAAGATTAAACTGTATTAAAATTCTTTGGTGTACATTGAAAAAGAGAATGTGGAAACATTTCAAAATATTTGTGATTTTGTCGTGGCTGAAGAATATAAATGTACATGTCTTTCAAATAAAAATGTGTCCTTGAAGCAGTGATTATAATATGCTAGTTTTCATTTAGAGTTGTTATAAAACTAAGCACAGAGGTAAGGGATTATTGCAGATTGGTTTCCTGTGACTTTTTGTTAATCATGGATTTATCTACTCTTTTGTTAAATCACTCTCTGTTTAGTTACTTTCTCATCCATCCATATATTATTTTTCATACTTTATTTTTATGAGTTGATATATAACTTTATGCATATTTCTTATATGAATACCTAAACTCTGCATACCTAAAGTGTTTGACTTTTAGGGTAAAGACTGTATATTGTATGATTGATAATTTAAAATTATGGATAAACTAGAATCTGGCTTATGGATAGCTAATTGGGTATGAAGGGACATATTTTTTTAAAAAAAAGTATAAGAGTAGAACTGAGGGCCTGGCACAGTGGCAGCATTTTGGGAGGCTGAGGTGGGAGGATCACCTGAGGTCAGTTCAAGACCAGCCTAACCAACATGGTGAAACCCCGTCTCTACTAAAAACACAAAATTAGCGGGGCGTGGTGGCACATGCCTGTAATCCCAGCTACTCAGGAGGCTAAGGCAGGAGAACTGCTTGAATCCGGGAGGCAGAGGTTGCAGTGAGCCGAAATCACGCCACTGCACTCCAGCCTGAGCAACAGAGCAAGACTCTGTCTCAAATTTAAAAAAAAGTAGAACTGAGAAGAAATCTCATCTTGGAAAATTATAAATTTATTTATTTTAAGGGAAAGATCCCAAAATTTAAAAAGAAATATGAAAATCCTATCAATCATTTTCAAGGATAGTAATATTAGAGAAGAATTACTAATACAGAGAATCTACTCTAATTTGACTACTCACAAAAACAATAAGTGAAGCAAGAAGTCACGTAACCTTTGTTAGAACAGGGATGTAACATTTGAGTACTTCAATTCCTGCTAGATAACAACCATGTTAATTCATAGAAATTTTCCTTAATTTGAGGAAATTCAGAGAGAGCAAATTTATATCATCATGGGTAATTGAGATTAAACCTTTCAAAAAATTCATTTTAGATTTTTCAAAAGAATTGTATGTGGGTTTGAAACTTGAAGTAAAATTAGGCAGGTTGTACAGTTCTTGATCTTCGTAAGTTGGCAAGTGAAATTGCTTAACACATTCTTCACTTTGTAAAAGGGTAAGAAAGAGAAAGTTTTATGATTTATGTACCAGAAGCATTTACTTTTCTAAATTATGAATATTGTGTTGAAGTAATATGTGCAGATGAATTTTGTGATAAATTTAGGTTTAGTTGCTGCCTTTGCATAGTGTTGAGAGAAGACTCGTAGGTCTCTAGAGATTGGTGGAGTTTGAGTTCTGACTCTGTGACTTCTAGTGTTGTGATCCTGAACAAATAAACTAGTCAGTTTTCCATTCTGTAAAATGGAGATGATAATACAGCCATGTATTGCTTAATGATGGTGATACGTTCTGAGAATTGAGTCATTAGGTGATTTCATTGGGCAAACATCATAAAGTGTACTTACACAAACCTCCATGGTATAGCCTGCTATACACTTAGGCTATGGGATATATCCTGTTGCTCCTAGGCTACAACCCAGTACAGCATGTTGCTGTACTGAATACTGTAGGCAGTTGTAACACAATTGTGTTTTTGTATCTAAATATAGAAAAAGTACAGCAAAAATATGATATAAAAGATTAAAAATGGTATACCTGTATGAGGTGCCATACCAAAAATGGTATACCTGTATAAGGGCACTTACCATGAATGGAGCTTGGAGGGCCGGAAGTTGCTTTGGGTGAGTCAGTCAGTGGTGAGTGAATGTGAAGGCCTAGCACATTACTGTACACTAAGGTACACTTTATAAACACTGTACACTTAGGGTACACTGAATTTATTTTTAAAAAAGTAATTGTACCACAACTTTAAGATGGCTATGATGTCACTAAGCTGTAGGAGTTTTTCAGCTCCTTTATAATCCTTTATGGGACCATTGTTGTGTATGCTGTCCTTTGTTGATTGAATTATGTGACACATGACTGAAGAAGTAAAAATCGAAAGTTAATACTAAATCTTAATTATAATTATTAAATTTTAAAAGAAAAATTTTTGCGAACTTCCCATTACAAGTTACAAACAGTCCCTGATTAATCATGGTTTGACTTAAGGTTTTTGGACTTTAAGGTGGTACCAAAGTGATGTGCATTTTATACAAACTATACTTTGGGTACCAATACAGCTATTTTGTTTTTCACTTTCAGTATAGAATTCAGTAAGTCACATGAGATATTCAACACTTTATTATAAAATAGGCTTATTGTTAGATGATTTTGCCCAACTGTAGGCTAGTGTAAGTGCTCTGAGCACATTTAAGGCAAGCTAGGCTAAGCTTTGATGTTCAGTAAGCTAGTTATTAAATGCATTTTTGACTTAAAATATTTTCAGCTTACATGATTGGTCTTTCAGGATAAACCCCATTGTAAATTGAGGAGCATTCACATCATGAATTATGTCAAGTAATTTGTTTCTTATCTCTGATTGGGGCAGGGGATTTTGCTTGTTGCTTTGAACTTTGAAAAATGACATATAGACTAATGCAAGTTTTTCATAAAGAACAGTTATGTTTTAGCTCTGCTTATGAGTAGGAAAACACACAGAGTGAAATGTCATCTATTATTTACCTAGATGTAAGATGACTTTGTTTAGCAAAAGACAGATCTGAATTATTTTCAGTTATTAGGAAAACAGCAGTGTATTAAAATTCATTTCAAGATGGTATATTTAATTTTAAGAAGCATAGATATTACAGTTAGACCTGCTCAGTGATTGTCATGAAAATAATTCAGTTGATAGTTATAGATTATAATTGTGATATAAAGTAGTCCAATTTTCAAATATCCACATTTTAATTACCTTCATTTAATGAAAGTTTATCAAGCAGTGTGTTTGAACAGACACTATTCATGGTATTGGGGAAACAAATGCGTTAAATATAGTCTCTGCTCTCATGGAACTTCTTCTTTTACTAAAAGTAATTCATGAAGATTTTTTACTAAAAATAGAATTTTTTTTTTTTTTTTAAGTGTTAGAATAATGTATAGCTAAGAAAGTCCAGCGGAATGAAAAAACTATAAAAGCTTACTAGGTAGATAATAATCATGTAAACTGAAAGTAGTATCCTTATAGGATATTTTTCCTTTTCCTTTTTTAGGAACCTAAAAGGGGATCGAGTTATGCCAGAGGAAATAGCTCGCTACTATAAACATTATGTAAAAGTCATGGGTCTTCAGAAGAATTTCAGAGAGAATACTTACATAACTTCCGTATCAAGACTCTACAGAGATCAAGATGATGATGATAGTCAAGACAGAGATATTTCAACAAAGATAGAGAAGTCAAACTTTATCAAGAGAAACTGGGAAATTAGGGGTTATCAGCGAATAGCTGATGGTTCTCATGTTCCCTTCTGCCTCTTTGCTGAGAATGTAGCACTGGCAACTGGAACGTTGGATTCTCCTGCCCATCTGGAAATTGAAGGGGAAGATTTTCCTTTTGTGTTTCATTCAATGCCTGAATTTGGAGCTGCTATAAACAAAGGAAAGTTGCGTGGCAAAGTGGATCCAGTGTTAATTGTAGGTTCTGGGCTTACTGCTGCTGATGCAGTACTGTGTGCTTACAATAGTAATATCCCCGTGATTCATGTGTTTCGCAGACGAGTAACTGATCCAAGCTTAATTTTCAAACAGCTTCCCAAAAAGCTGTATCCTGAATATCATAAAGTTTATCATATGATGTGTACTCAGTCATACTCTGTAGACTCAAGTCTTTTATCTGATTATACCAGCTTTCCTGAGCACCATGTGCTTTCCTTTAAGTCGGACATGAAATGTGTTCTCCAAAGCATTTCTGGATTGAAGAAAATATTTAAGCTGTCTGCAGCAGTAGTATTGATAGGTTCTCATCCTAATCTGTCTTTTCTGAAGGATCAAGGGTGTTACCTAGGCCATAAGTCAAGCCAACCAATCACATGTAAGGGTAATCCTGTGGAAATAGATACATTCACCTATGAGTGTATAAAAGAAGCCAACCTTTTTGCATTGGGTCCTTTGGTTGGAGACAATTTTGTTCGATTTTTAAAGGGAGGGGCACTGGGTGTTACACGCTGTTTAGCTACAAGACAGAAGAAAAAGCAGCATTTGTTTGTTGAAAGAGGAGGAGGAGATGGGATAGCTTAAAGCAAGTTTACAAGTAATTAAAATGGACAGTTTGCTGTTAAAAGATTTTTAATAGTGGTTTTGCAGTGTGCTGGCTTGAATTTTCTGGACTTGAGTTAACTGAAGGAGAGCCTCAAACTATAGTAACTTCATTTTTAAAAGTTACTAGAATTTGGTATCTTGATTTATATTGTAATGTTTCAAAGGTGTCAGTGTCAGACAAACAGAAACACTGCCAACTTGGTGTATCTTAAGCTTTCACTTAACTAAAACATTCTTTTCTTCCAAAACTTACTTTTCGTGATCGTTTTTGGTTATTTATTATACTCAATTCCAAAACAGTACAGCCTTGAATCTATAAAACTGTGCAGTCATTATGCCAGAAATTATCTTAAATATATAATGGGCCACCTTGCTGTTCAAAGGGTGGTGCAAGGTCCTGCAGCATCTTCATCTGTAGCTTGTTAGAAATGGGCCCTACAGCTTACTTCCTGCATTTTAACAAGATCCCCAAGGGATATGTATGCTCATAAAAATTTGAGACACACTGTGTGTTAAATGAAAATGATATAAGGTATGTATACTGGGGGTGGGGTGAGGGTAGGAGGCATTTACAACTCAGATTTTATTTATTTTGAAATTATCAATTGTATAAATCTAATTTATTACCAAATAGGGTCTTTTAAAAAATATTTTTATTGTTGAAACCTTGACAGGTACTTCATATTCTAATAATTTCAACAGTCCAATAATGTGTTATACACTTTGACATCCAAGAACTCACCAAGATATTTTTCAGAGATTTATTCTAGATTTAACTATCATAGCATTTAACGAGTCTGATTTGTAGTTCAATAAATTGTGGGTTGAACTACTTATCCCTGTGTGAACACTGAATTACTTTCTGTCACTGAAACTAAGGTATTTGGGTGTGGTAAGTACTTCTAAAATTGTTATACTGTTTGGGCATTGTCTGAATTATTAAAGGTTAAAATAAAAATAAAGTCAACATTTTTCTTTTCCATTCCAAAGGTGTACTTAGAGATCTATAATAGTATTCATTGGAGATGACATAGCAGCTCATATCATGGTTTATTGGATTTATGTGTTCTAATTATCTTTATATAAGTGTGTTTACTGTCTGTGTTTTCACACAAACCGCTAGAATTTTTAATGTTAAGACGAAAACATCTTCTGAAGTTCTCCATTGCAAATTGAATTTTTCAGTCATTTTCTCTTTTATTTTTTGGTACAATTACTTCATCTGGAATGTCTTCATTGAACTTCTCGTTATTCTGTTTTTCTTAGAATTAAAAGTGGATTACGTGTGTTTTTCTGTTCATTTTATTGCAGTATTAAATGCTTAGCTTATTACGACCATAATTCACTATACAAATATTATTGTATAGAATATATTTGCGTCATCAACTAATTGTTTCAGACGAATTCTTAGACTCTTGATAACATCACACCTAATTTAACTTGATTTTACAAGCTGTACAATCCAGTTTTAGTTTTCTATTGTGATAACTTTTTTCAAACCAGTTTCACATCTTAATGAAATAACATTCTCTGACTGCACTTGCTTCAGTACTCTCTTGCTTGCCTGTTTTTGACCTCTGCATGAGTTGGATTAGATGTTTTTCTTACTGTCACTTCTAAATAGAAAATGACAGTGTTATAAAAAAGGGAAGGATAAAACCTTTGACATCCCCTTGTGTCTCAAAAGTCCACACTTATTCAAACAATGGCTTTTTTGTGATGAGGGTATTTGTTAAAAAAAAAAAAGAGAGAGCGACTTCGAGAAAAATAAAGGTTCAGTGGAGCTGCAGATAAACCTGGTGAATCATTTCATCTTTGGTAATCTCCCATTTCCTGAGTTCTTCCTCAATCCAGGCTGTCCTGTATGGTATATAACATTCAGGCATTTTCTCTGATGTACTATACTTTCATACTCTATAAATTTCTGTCCCATAATTCCAACACTTTACATTTTTACTTTAGTATCGACTAGCTATTCATGGAAGGGAAAAATCACTAGATACTTGTCTAGTTATAGCATGATGTGAGCATCTGCTCCTTATCCCTCGATGCCTGGCTTGGTGTCTGGCAAACAGTCCATAATTAGCAGATGTTGAAAGACTGTTTACAAAGCAGAATTTATTTGGGGATTTAAAGTGCAATGATACAACAAAAAGATTTAATTACAGCTTCCAGTGTTTTGAGTATGTGAACCCTATCCAACTACTTTTTTGAAAATCTAAAGTTTTATGTAATACATTGCTGTGGCATCAAATTTTAGTTGGTTGTATTAGTCAACAGGAAGTGGTGGAAAATTTCTAAATAAATTCAGCTATTAAATAAAAGCAACTTCCACTAAATCTCAGCATTTGGAACACTGGAGAACCCAGAATGGAACAAAATTAGACTGAATGTAAATGTCATTTAAAAATCTAACTGGGGCTGGGCACAGTGGCTCACGTCTGTAATCCCAAAACTTTGGGAGGCTGAGGAGGGTGGATCACCTGAGGTTAGGAGTTCAAGACCAGCCCTGCTAACATGGTGAAACCTCATCTCTACTAAAAATACAAAAGTTAGCTGGGCGTGATGGTGAGTGCCTGTAGTCCCAGCTACTTGGGAGGTGAGGCACAAGAATTGCTTGAACCTGAGAAGCAGAGGTTGCAGTGAGCTGAGACTGCACCACTGTACTCCAGCCTGGGCCTCAGAGTGGAACTATCTGAAAAAAAAAATACTAAAAATCTAACTCAGTTACAAAGGCTGCTTGTTGCATAGAGCCATTTTGATCTGATCATACAGTCTTTTAAGTTGTGTACATTCCTTGGTGTGGGGGGATAAAGGGTCCGAGTCCCCTAAGGCTAGTCTGAAGAGTATGTGAAATAAGGATTAAAGAGATACCCTGATTATTTTGAACAACCCCCTCTCTGCCCCCCGCATGCAGGTTATTCAAGAGAAATGGTGTCTTTGGGGAAGGAACAGGGTAAAAAAGGTAAAGATGATGACTGATAAAGCATAAAAAGAATGAAAACCTTCAAATTTAAAAGGATGGCATCCTGGTTTTAATCATGATGGAGTAATAAGAATGGGGCTTACCCTTTACTGTAAGAATCAACTACAAAACTCTTGAAAATACATAAAGCAGTGTTTTCACACAGTTGTAGACAGCAGTCCAGGACTGATTTTTAAGAGAAGGAACAAGCGGTGAGCTCCATAATCACCCTGACTTTCTGCTTGAAGGTACTTTGTAAACTAACATAAAGTGGAGTATGTCTGGTTGGAAGAAAATAACACAGTATAGGGTTCCTGCTAGAATTTGCTGAGCAGAGTACTGGGGAGGAGGAAGCTGCAGAGAAGCAGCTGCAGAAATCTGCATAATTTTCTTACATGTGGCACAATACTAAACAGTACAGGGAAAAACCATGGGGCTTTAGGGATTAGCAGCTGTAAGTTAGGGGTTGAGTGGAGACTTTGAAGGTATTCAGTTCTGGAAGACTTTGGAATTCTGGCCAAATAGCAGAGCCACCACCTCAAGCGTTCAGCTGAAACCCCAAAAAGGCCATGCCTTGCGAATAGGGGTACCTTAATTTGCCCCAAACTAAGCCGCAACAGGATCAAGCAGGTCTGTGAGTAAATGAACTGCCTACCAGCACAAGACTTGACACTCCTCAAGGAAGACAAAATCCAGACTGTAACAACAGCATCAACAATGTCCAGCACACAGTAAAAGATTACTGGGTGTCCAGACAAGAAAATGTGACACAACCAGAAAAAACAAGCAATCGAAACATCTAAGAATTGATACAAATGTTGGAAATCGCAGACAAGTACTTTAAAACAGTTAATATGTTCAAAATATTAAAATGACACTAAAGAAGTGGGGAATCTCAGAAGAAATACTAAGAAGTGAACATTGTATAGCTGAAAAGTACATTCTGAAAAGAAAAATTCACTAGATGAGCTTAACATACAGGACACTGGAGAAGAAAAGATCAATGAACTTGAGGACAGGTTAATATAAACTATCCCAACAAAGCATAAAGAAAACTAAAAAAATAATTGCCAGACTTGATGGGATAATATCAAGTGTCTAACATGTATAGTTGGAATTCAAAAGGAGAGGAAGACTGAGCCAGAAAAATACGTATTTGGAGAATAAAAAGAAAAATTTCCAAATTTCATTTAAGAAATCTACAACCCATAGATCCAAGAAACTCATACTGCAAACAGGATAAAAAGGAAATCACAGCTATGCACCTAACAGATTGCTGAAAAGTAGGAAAGTTTAAAAGCTGTCGGAGAAAAAAGGGAACAATGATAAGAAATACATGACTAGGAAAAATGCAATCAAGAAGACAGTCTTAAATATCTTTGAATTGCTGAAGTAAAAATACTGCCAAACTAAAATTCTATATCCAGTGAAAATATTCTTCAAAAGTGAAATAGTCGTTTTTGGATATGTGAAAGTTGAGAAAATATGCTGTCAGAAGACCTGCACTGCAAAAGGTGGAAATTCTTCACACTAAGGTACATGATACCTGCATGTATCTACATGAAAGAAAAATGCCAGAAATGGTAAATAAAAATTATGTATTTTTCTCATTTCTTAAATTATTCAAAATCCAGTTGACTGTTGAGAATGTGTTTAAGCATAAACAATTTAAACAAAAAGTAAAAAATTGTATGATTTAGGACATGTAGAGTAAAATATACGATAATTATAGCACTGTACAGAAAGACAACGAGAAGTATACTTCCCCCCTCCACGCCCGAGAGAGGGTATCACTCTGTCTCCCAGGCTTGATTGCAGTGGTGTAATCTTGGCTCACTGCAGCCTCAACATCCCAGTCTCAAGCGATCCTCCTGCCTCAGCCTCCCAAGTAGCTGGGACCACAGGCAAGTGCCACCACACACAGCTAATTTTTTGTAGAGATGGGGTTTTGCCATATTTGCCCAGGGTGATCTTAAACTGAGCTCAAGCGATCTGCCTGCCTTAGCCTCCCAAAGTGCTGGGATTACAGGCATGAGCCACTGTATGCGGCAGAAGTATACTTTTATCAGGTGTATACATTATACAATTAGTGGTGTGTTATTCTAGATAAGAATCCATATCCTTATGGTAACTACTAAAAACAACTAAAAGGTACAACTATAAAGCCAATAGAAGAGATGAAATGGAATACTAAAAAATAACTGAAGGCAGAAAAAGAGAAACAAGGGACAGTGAGAAAATAAGCATGATCATACACTCCAACTCAACCACAGCAATAATTATATTTACATACAAGTGGCTTAAGCACCACACACTTAAAAGCAAAGATCATCAGATTGAATAAAAAGCTTCAACAAGGTTTACAATAGCTTTATCTAAATATAAAGATACCAATAGGTTATAAGTAAAACTGGAAAAAGACATACCATGAAAACACTAATAAAAGACCTCAAGACAAGTATTAGAGATAGATATTTTATCACGAAATGTTTAGTTAATGGAAAACATATCAATTCTAAATGTATATGCACCTAATTACTGAGTTTTAAGATACATAAAAGACAATGGAGAACTAAGGTGAGACAAACTCACAATAATAGTTGGAGACTGAGTAGACAAAATCAAAGGATGTAAGAGATATTCAATGGCATTACCAACCGCTGATCTGACATATATAGAAAAACTACACTCCTAAACTGCAGAATACTCATTCTTTTTACATGCAACCAGAATATTCACCAAAACGGGCCAACAATATGCTTGCCCATAAAACAAGTCTCAAAACATTTAAAAAGATTAAAATATTACTGAATATGATCTCTGACTACAGTGGAATTTTAGAAATAGTAACATATAGAAATAAATAAGAATTAACTATTATATCTTTTGGTAGATGGAAAAATTATATTTGGAAATTAGTCCATATGTCAGTGAAAAAAAATCACAGGGAAATTGGGACATTTTTTGAGCCAAAAGATCATACAAGTAACCAAATTTATCACATGCAGCTAAAGAGGTGTGTTGAGTGAAATTCTAAATACTCAGTTTTGAAGATGGGTTTAAAATCAATGATCTACAATGGACTAGGGAAAAAGAGCAAATTAACCCTAAGTAAGCCGAAGGAAGGAAAGTGAAAATCAATGAAATAGAAAAACGAGAGGCCGGGCGCAGTGGTTCATGCCTGTAACCCCAGCTACTCAGGAGCCTGAGGCAGGAGAATCGCTTGAACCTGGGAGGCGGAGGTTGCAGTGAGCCAGATTGGGTCACTGCACTCCACCCTGGGTGACAGTGAGACACAGTCTCAATAAATAAATAAGTAAATAAATAAATAATAGAAAAAGGACATACACTAGAGAAAAATTAATGAAATTAAATGTTCTTCAAAAAATTTTAATTTCTAAAGCTCTAGCTAGATAAGAACTAAAGAACACAAGATTCAGATAACAAGAGACTCCACGACATATTACAGACATTTTAACACAAATACTATAAACTTTTATACCAATACATTTCACAACTTACTGGAAAATGTGAAGTCCTTAAAAGACACAAACTACTGAAACTACTAGAGGCAGAACATCTATAGCTCCTTGAGAGAAAAAATACAGACATTTAACATTGCATTGATAGCCACTGTAACAGGTAAGAAAAAGAGAAGACAAAAACAATTGGAAGGAAGAAGTAAAACTGCCTGTATTCACCAATGACATGATTGTGTACTTAAAATCCTAAGGAATCTGCGGGGAAAAAAAAAAAAAAATGCCAGAATAGGTGAGTTTAGCAAGTTCACAGGATCCAAATTCTATACACCAAAAGTAATTGTATTTTCA